GATCCCTATCTATAAATGTTCCCAGAGATAAAAGGGAGCATTCATTAATAGATATGGGGGGCAGTAGATAAACATTGGATGTTTTGAACACATTAAAGTTCTGATGCTCTACACCATTCTTCTTTTGTTCAGTGGCTAATCTAACAATGACACTGTTGAGTGGGAAGTGACCTCACTCATTAGTGATGTGAGAACAGGTAACCTAGTGGACATATAAAGAGAAATGCCAAAATGTAAAAAGCCAGTGCTTAGACATATATTGAGAGGGAGCTGGAGAGATGTCTCAGTAGTTGAGAGCGCTGGCTGCTCTTCCAAAAGGACCTGGGTTCAATTCCCAGAACTCACATGGTAGCTCACAACTGTCTGTAACTCCTGTTCTAGGGGATAGAACACCCTCACACAGACATAGATGCAGGCAGAACACCAATGTACATAAAATACAAATAAATAAAAAATAAAACTATAGTGAGAGGAGCATTTCATAAAACTTTGTTTAATAGCATCTAACTTTCTAATATAGACTAAAATTACTAACATTTAAACATATGAAATAATAATAAAAAGATAATAAAATGGTAAGTAGCAGTTTTTTAAATATATAAAAATAAAACATGGTAGTAGTTGATAAGAGTTATTTAAGGCCTGATTAAAATACACATGTTTATTGTGGGGAATTAAAGACATGCCAAGGCTGAGAGAAGGCTCAGTAGTTGAAGACAATGCCTGGCAAATGTAAGGACCTGAGTTCGGGAAACTGGAAACCCATGTACATGCCCTGAGGGCACCGTGGTCTGCCTGTAATTCCATTAAAAAGGCAGACTTAGGATCTTTAAGTAGTCTGACTAGCAAGACTAGCCATATTGGAGACGTCTGAGTTTGACTGAGAAACTCTGATTCAATGAATATGGTGGAAAGGCAATAGAGTATGACTCTTGACTTCAACCTCAGTCCTGCATATGCACGCTGACACACATGCACAGTACACACACACACACACACACAGAGGCATGCATCACACACATGCACATGCACACATCCACACACACACATATACACATACACACACATAACACACACAGGCACTCACCACACACATGTACACACATAATATATCCACAGGCACTCATCACATGCATACACATAGGCACAACACACACACACACACACACACACACATACTGGAAAAAGAGTAGGAAAAAAAGCAGATGGCGTGGTGAAATTCTTGCCCTTCTTGATGAGAAAGTGGTGCCTGGTGAGTCCCTTCCTCCTCACAGACCGTGTCTTCATCTCTGAAGGGAGGACCAGGTTGTCATAAAAATACTTATAAAACCACCAAACACGTGGAAGTTTCCAGCAAATTGGAATTTGCATTTTTTCACAGTCATTTGTTACCATTCATGTGAGTCTGATGCTCAATCTCCAATTATTGTAAAGGAAAAGAGAAATTAATATTTGCTACTTTCTTTAAGGAAAACACATAATGTCATGATCATTGCATTTGACTTCTCAAAACAAATTTTAAATTCACAAAAACCCAGTGGTATTTACTAGGCTATAATATGCTGTAAGACTTTGATTTATTGCTATTTTTAACTAAACTTGCATGTTAATTCACAAATCTGAATCAAAAATGCAGAGACAATCAAGATTCAATTATTAACTTTTTCTAAAAACCCTGTATCATAGGAACCAACACAAAAGCAGGGATATTTGTAAATAAAAACACATGTCAGCATAAATAAAAATATAAATGAAATTACCATTGGGGCCTTACCTGTGCTTGTTAAAATGAGTTGCCTGTCTCCCCTCAGTGCCGATCAGTGGTGTATCCAAAACAGACTCAGATATACGGCTAATCTTGGCATTGTCAAAATCCAGATGCAATGTTTCTTAAGTAATAAATATGATGTTGTTCTTCCTCTCCTTAGGCAGCACAAATGGCTCGTTTTATTAATTATTCCTCAGAAAAGTAAGTTCCATGGCATTGGCAGGGAGGATGTTCGTGGCTCAGTACTGGATTTGCGGATTTGTGTGCAGATGAAAATAACAGCACCCAAGTCATCATTATCCTTAGCTTGAACCTGAGCTCATTAATATGTATGCAACTGACAAATAAAAAGACCTTTCTCAAAGTGATGTCTCTTAAGATGTTTGAAAGTAAACAAAAAATATAGCCTAATTGATTTTATTAAAATTTAGTTGCCAATTTTCCCCAGGGTTATAATACTACAAGTATTAAAATGAGATACAGTAATGTGGATATTTGTGGAAGTCCTCAAATGATGGACAGGTTGTTACTGTAAGATTTAACAGGAGTAGAAGAGAAAACTTTGTTTCAGTAACTACTTGTGTTCTTACAAACTCACCTGATTTCCTTTTAGAAACTGGATGTACTTTTTTTTTCTGGCTTAAAATATGCACCTCTGGGATTAGTTTAGAGTAGTCTTTCCCAGTCCTACTTCACACGTGGAAGATGTAACTAAGATAAATACAACTGATGCCCTCATTGTATTTCACAGCGTGCAGCGTGATGTCCACATTGTCATGATTTTCTTTCATATGGCACTTTTTAAAGTTGGCTGTGATGAGCTAAAGGAGCTGGTAAGAGCAGCCACTCCTGAGAGCCTGGGATGAACAGGAAAGCTGTCCTGGGACCTGAGAGTGCACAGGAGTCTGTCTTCAGAGACTGCCATTGAGACATATTGTGACACAGACCTGTGGGACCACGTGCAAGGAGCACAAGTATTTGAGAAGGAAGGGCAATGAACCAGAAACCTTTTGGGAGGGGTGGGTGTGTGTTCTGCTGAAATTGAAGGCAAGCAGAAATTTTCTCTGGAGATATGGAACACATAATAGGACGGTTCCCCGATCGGCTCAAGTTGAAAGGGGGTAAGAATACTATGATGTTTTATCTTCCCCTCTACAGTGTTTAGCTTGACCCGGTCTACCTATGGCTGAGTTTCTTTTCCTGGGACCTGCAGTAACCTTGACTGACAGAAAGAACATAGCCACACGGATTATCTACTTAATAGGCTACTTTCAACCCGGCTCTCTGTCCTGCTTTGTCAGCTTTCTCTAAGTCTTTCTAATCCCATGTAAAGGACCTGTAGCTATAGATGCTCATTTGCATGAAATTTATTAAGTATTTTCACCGTTTAAAATGTGATTTGAAAATTTCTGGTTCTTGACGTGGTGTTATTAAGTATTCGATAATTTGTCTCCCAATCCACCAAGACCTTCAGCTAGTTCAGGCCATTAATGACATCTCCACTTTTATGATCACATTTAAAGTCTGTGCAAGTAATTGCTTAACAACTAAATGATTGTCTTCCCGGTAAGAACTATAAACCCTCTGAGTTTAGGACTGTCCCCATTATTTGCGTATTACTCTACATGTAGTATGTGGCTCGCCACAATGCATAATTATTCATCAAGTACCTACAAAATACTAGGCTCTCTTCTAAGCACGAGGAAGTAAATAGCTAACAAGAGTAAGTTTGTACCCTCATGAAGAAGCATTCAGATGAGGAGGGTATCCCCTTTTGGCTTCCACCGACACACAGGCATATGCACCTGCATACACATGCGTGCACACGTGTGCAAACAAGGAAAAATAACGCACCTCAAAGGAACATTTTCAGTTTTTTTTCAAGTAAAGATAAGAAACATAAAGCGGAGAATGGTAGCATCTATCATCTTGACATCTTTAGTATGAAATAATCAGATTTTTATAAAGAGCTTAGGGTAGTTTTAGCCACATAGTAACTTAACTGATGTTTCTTAAATAGTAGTGCGAACCTGATATAAGTACCTGATAATAATTTATTATCATTGCCAATCTCGATGAAGACAAAACTTCAACTCTGATGTCCAAAGAAAGCATTTACAGAGACGTCTAGTTCTCAAGGCTCCCTATCCAAAACTGTCTTAAATCCGCCCTGCCACTTTCACTCCTTCCTGTCCCCACCCCATTCTTCTCCCATCAGTCATACCCACGTAAAAAGCATGCACCTTGGATTATTGACTAATTTGGATGTAAGTCTTGTCTCATAAGCCTAGAAACAAGAAAAGCAAGCTGGATCTCTGCAGTGAAACTCTTAGGCAATGAAGTTAATAGATGTCCAAGATCACCTAAAGGGAAGGAGAGCAGATAGGAGTGCAGTGTTTAAGGGCCAGAGCACAAAAGCGCCCCTCATACATGCCTAGTCCCGGCTCTCCTGCTGAAGGCTTCAGCAGGAAGTGTGCCCATTTCACGAGGTCCAAATAAATACCTCGTGTCCGGGTTACTCCACCTCACTCTTTACCTTGAATCCCTCTTCTGCAAACTGGAGTTAGTAAACTACGCAGTGTAAATGAATCCATTCGTGTATGTGCCTGTACGCTATGTAACGTACAGCTAGAAGACCACAAATCTCAGTGTGGGAACAGATCTCAGTTTGGGCACGGCTGTTCCCTTAGAAACTTATTTCATATATCTATATGACTGGGCGTGGGGGTAAGAGAGATAGGTGGGTGGAGAGGGAGATGCCTCCTGGTTGAAAACCGGTAGGTGTGAAGGACAATGGGGGTACATAGGAGTACCAGAAGCCGGTTTGAAAATTCCCATAATAAACTTTAGCTTGGATTCAGCGCACAAGTCCAGCAGACAGAGCCCGGTGCCCAAAAGTCAGTGATGGAAGACTCCCACAGTGGGCCGGACCAACCAGCCAGCTCATTGTCAGCTCCGGGACAGCCAGAAGGGGGCCTCAGCACAGACTCTATTCCCATAAATTCCCCGAGTGGCTTCGGCCGCATCCACGCTGTGACCTCATCGCCTTCTGGAACAGGTGTTTCTGGACTGCACACCGGCTCAGCCCCTGGTCCACCCTACAGACACGTAGGACCCCAAAGGAGCCACAGCGGCTGTCCATACTCGGAGAACAAGCCTCCAACCATCCGGCCACGGAGGCGTGACTCGCTCCGATGCCACACCCAGTCACTCTTATTGGCTGAGGCTGCCACCGGGGCGGAGACAGCGCACACCCTTGGCCGACTCCGAAGCTCCGCCGTGGGTCCCGCGGCACAGGTGTGTGCGAAACTAGCGCCAGCTCCGAGGAAGTCCGGTCCCCAGGCCATGGGGGGACAGCTGAGGCTGCCACCCGGAGAGCCCTGCCGAGAAGGTGAGTGCCAGCCCGGGTGGCGGGAGGGTCGGGGATCTGTCACTTAGGTAACTGGGAGCCCAGATGCGCGGTCTGGCGACAGCTGCTAGACCCGAGGAAAATGTGCGGATTCTTAACGCGGTCCCCTCATCATTCAGTGTTCCCGCCGTTCAGCAGGCTGTCACACCAACCCGACAATAAGTACTGCGCTGTGCCCATCACACTCCACGCCCTGAGGGGAAGCCCAAATGGGAGCAGGACAGACGGGACGCCCACTTGGTCTCCGGGCGGACCGCGTCAGTTACGTAGTGCTGAATGTGCGACTGGGAAATTCGGGATGCTAAGCGCAAATTCCCGGGTTTGATCGAGGAGGAAGTTTCCTCTGACTCAGCCTCGATTCCAGAGTCCATGATCCACGCCACCTGCGGAGCAGAGGGCGTGTCGGGGATCCCGCGGGCCTCCCACGCTGCTGCGCCCTTCGCGGACTGCGCCTGGGTCCCACTGAGAGGTCACTCAGCACAGGGCGGGAGGGCACTGGTCTGCTGCCCGCCGCCCACGTGGCTGCTCTGCCTTCGGGATGAAACACCTCCCACGGAGCAGTCCCTTCAGTGGGGCGACTACTCAAACAGGGAAATGGGCGTGTCCTTTTGTAAATTCTTCTCGTGGACCACGCCGGGGTTTACAGCCCCCTCCTTGCTCCGTAAAATCCTTGGGCCCTGCGCCTTGCCCTCTGCCAGATGTTCACCACATCCACTGGCTTCCGGCAGTCTCAACACAGCAGAGTGAATTGGGATGAAAGCAGGGAGAGGAGTGTGGTAGTCTTGGGAAGAGTGCATTGCAAATGACATTATCATCTTTACAGCCTCGGGGCAAAGGCCATTTCTGATCTACTTGCCAACGACTCAAAGCAAAAGAGGGCAGAGAGTTGTCTAGTGGAAACTGCACCTTTCAGAAGTTTCTGGCAACATCTTCGTGTCCTTTTCCCTTGGCTTCTCAGCTGGCTTATACCTTAATAAGGGAATAGAAAGAAAAGGGAGGGGAGAGACAAGGAAGGAGAGGGAGGAACTCATCAAAACACAACTAGCATGAAAGGGGAGGGACATATAAAAGAAAATGCGGCCACGATTCACAAACTCTCTCCAAATTGAGATGGGTGGTCCCTAAGGTAGCTGAATCTGGAGTTATTTCCTAGACAACCATGTTGTAGTTAGTTCCCTTTCTAAATAATTCTGAAGCCACGAAGCCATTCCGGTACTAATGCACCCTGCCCTTGTTTGCTCAGGATCTGCAAGTAGATTGTACCCAGTCATTTGACCTCTGGGTATTTTTCCTGCTTTACTCATGCATTTAGTAACAACAAGGAATATTGGAGCTCTGTTTCACCTCTGTGATTAATTGTGCAGGAAGTTGCTGGGAAAGGAAAGAGATGTTAATCTGTGTATTCAGGAGTAGGAGTTACACTAGGCGGCAGCCAGAGTTCCCTGGGCTCTCTGTCTTTTCAAAAGTGGCAAGACATGTTACTGTTGACTGTCAGAGTAGGTGCAGGTGTGATACCACAGGAAACCCACAGGGCAGTGTCTGAAGAGGCTTAGAGGAGTCTTCTGCTTCTCGCTGATTGGTTTGAGGTGACGAACAAGAGTTCTGGGAGCCAAGCACTGGCCTAAGTCCTAGGAAAATCTTGTCATCAGTCTGGCCATACCGTTTACTATCTTGGTGACAGGTAATTCCCAAGAAGTGAATGACCTGATAATGTACCTACAGTGGTGGCAAAATCTAACAGAGGGTGTGGGTAGTCTGGAGACTGGGTGACCCAGTGTTCCTCTAGCTGAGACCAAATGATGAGTCTGAAAATAAAATACTTCCATTAGATGCCCACAAAGAAAAAGTTACAGTAGCACTTTGATTTCAATTTTTAAAACCATGACTGAATACTTTAAAAGACCTTAGAACCCCAAATTATCTCAAAAATTAAAAAAACCCTTAAATACATATAAAGGGTCTTTTTTTCCCATTTGGTTCTCAGTACTGTTTGCAAGTGTTCTGACAAAACTTAAGTTCGGTAGTCAGTAGGTTTTATTGACAATGGACACGTGGCCCCATCAAAATAGAATGTAAAAATTACAGCCATCACCTGGAACACTCCAACTGCGGAACCATTTTGTGTCTGGGAGCATTGAGGTGATGTCATGATGGCCCAGAGGATAGAAATACTTTGTTACCAAAAGGACATTTAGGAGCTCTTGGCTGACTTGGGATTGAAATGGCAAGCAAGCTTCAGGCAGAGAGAAATCCAGGGTTTTTGGAGTTTTCTTTCCTGGAGTGAGCCACTTTTCCAGGCTACAGCTGGGCAACAGAGGCCCATGATGGTGTTCAGAATGGATGCTTTCTGTCTTCCTGTCCTCAATACCTTTGGCTTTAAGAAGAGAGTATCAGGAGCTGGGCGTTGGTGGCGCATGCCTTTAATCCCAGCATTCGGGAGGCAGAGGCAGGGGGATCTCTGTGAGTTCGTGAGTTCGAGGCCAGCCTGGTCTACAAAGTGAGTTCCAGGACAGCTTCCAAAGCCACAGAGAAACCCTGTCTCGAAAAATAAAAAAAAAAAGAGAGAGAGAGAATCAGGAGCTAGAGAGATGGCTCAGTGGTCAAGCCCACTGACTGTTCTTTCCAAGGACCTATTTTTGACTGTAGCATCTACCTGAAGTTCACACTCATCCATAACTACAGTTTCAGGGGATCCAATACTCTCTTCTGACCTCTGATGCCACCAGGCATGCATGTAATGCACACACAAACAAGCAGGCAAAACACCCACATACTTGAGATAAAAATAACTTAACTTTAGCTGGGCGTTGTTGGCACACGCCTTTAATCCCAGCACTTGGGAGGCAGAGGCAGGCGGATAGCTGTGAGTTCAAGGCCAGCTTGGTCTACAGAGCTAGTTCCAGGACAGCCTCCAAAACAATACAGAGAAACCCTGTCTCAGAAAAAAAAACTTAATTTTTTTAGAATAGGCAATTGAAGAATTGTGACTCTTTGAGAATTGCCCATGTCTTCCTACTCTGATTCCAGACTGATATACATTGTGTAATCTTGAAAACTCAGAACACTCATATAAGACATATTCATTCACCCTCATGCATAACTAAATTCTGTAGTTTGATTTTCTGTCTTACAGATACAGAAACTGAACTAGAGAATTTAATATGGCCTCAGGGTTAGTGTTTAAAATCAACATGGTATTATTGGGTATTATTTCACTTGAAAGCGTATGCATCCTCCCTAGATTCACGTTGCAGTCCTTATTCCAATGTGGCAGGATTGAGGGATGGGGTTGTTGGGAAATAACTGGTCCTAAGGGCCAAGGCCTTCATGCAGGAGATTACAGCCTGAGCATCCCTCATTCAAAATGCTTAGGACAAGAAGTATTTCAGATTTCAGGTGTTTGGGGATCGGGGAAATATTGACACATACATAATGAGATATCTCTGGAATGGGACCCAAGTCTACACAGTAAGTTCACACACATTTCATATAAAAATTATACATGTTTTCCAAAGGCAATTTTATACAATATTTTTAAATATTCGTTTTAGATAAAACTGAGTTTCCTGGTGTGGAATTTTCCACTAGTGTCCTATTAGTGCTCAAAAGATTAGTGTTTTCTAGTGTTTGAGGCTTTTGGATGATGGATGTCCAGCCTGTAGTGCCTGAAATCTCACCCCATAGGGAAGAGGAGGCCAGACTGACTCCAGCCTCCCAACCTCCAGAGCTGTAGGAAGTAGCAGCTGTTTAGTAGCAACATAGACACAGCTTGGTTGTTCCAGCTGTAACTAGCATGTTCTAAGGCCCCCAAGACGTGATGTGATTTTAGCATTTCTTTTTTTTTTTCATGTAATAAAGGTGTTTATTGTTCTATTAAAAAAAGCACTGACTGCTCTTCCAGAGGACCTGGGTTCAATTCCCAGCACCCACATGGCAGCTCACAAATGTCTGTAACTCCAGTTCCAGGGAAAATAACACTCGTAAAAATATGGAACGCCTCACGAATTTGTGTGTCATTCTTGCTCAGGGGCCATGCGAATCTTCTCTGTATGTTCCAGTTTTAGTATATGTGCTGCCGAAGCGAGCACGAGTTTAGCATTTCAATACATCGCTCTTTCAAAAAATACACACGATAGGCATTTCCCAGAATCTATCATATGATCAGTTTTTACTAAGACAATTTGATTTTCTGTATAAAATATAACTACTTATCAAATGTTCTGAAAGAAATTTCCTCCATATCTCAATAAGAAAACTAAGACAAGGTTTTTTCCTAAGTCTTAAAGATTTCCTAAGAGCCAAAATTAAGCACTACTTAAAAAGAAAATAAAACTCTCAACTAAACGTTGTTCAAAATGTCCATTGTTTAGCCTAATATTTAGTATGAACTATAAATGATTGTTTTAAAAATCCCTAAAATGCATGCAATGTTACTGGAATGTCCCTTAAGTTCCTTTCCTGCATTTTCATTTCAGATTATTTATTCATTTTTAGTGGTTTTGAGACAGGGTCTCACTACATAGTTTTGTTTTTTTAAATAGCTTGTTTTACATGTCAATCCCAGTTCCCTCTCCCTCCCCTCCTCCCCCACTCCCCTTTCCCCCCACCCTCCCACCCTATTGCCAAATCCTTCCACATAGGGGATATCAGAGTCTGTCATTTTACTCTGGGTAGGGTCCAGGCACTCCCCTAAGAGTCCAGGCTGAGAGAGCATCCCTCTTTGTGCTATAGGCACACGAAGACTGTTTGTATATCAGGGATAGACACTGATCCACAGCTCAGGTACATAGTTTTGCAGAAGCTTGGAATTTACAATGTGGACCAGGCTGGTCTTGAATTTAGATTCACCTGCCTCTGCCTCTGAACCCTGAGGATAAGGGAATGCACCACCACACCAGGCTGCCCACCCTTCCCCCCCTCTCCCCCGCCCTATCTCCCCCACCCCAAGAGGACTTAACCCTTAGCAACTGAGTGACCTTTCTTACTGATGGTAAGGCGTGAGAACAGTAGCAGCTCGCTCTGGAAACGCCAGGACCAGCAGACTTGTGACTCTGCCACTTGAAGAAGACCTTATTTAAAGATAGAGGTTTTAAACCAGCGGCGTCTTCTCACCTCCATTCTGAAGCATTGTGTTGTTGCCACACCTGGCACTCTGGGGTTTTGGTTTTTTTTTTTTTTTTTTTTTTGCAATTTATTTGTTTTTGAAATCCTTGGGGAGTAAACCTAAGGCCTTCCCCATGCCAGACAAGTACGTGCCTCTGAGCTCCACCCTCCTCGCTCAATCCTGTTTTGTTAGTTGAGATAATGGGCATCTTACCAGGCTGCATGAGAGCTACACATCTGTCTGCTGGGAAGTGATGACCAAATTTGTGCTGTGATTTCTCATTTTGTTCCGCATTTGTTCTAATTTATTTCTAACCCTTATTCTGTTCCAAATTAGTCTAAATGATTCATCCTCCCTGTCCTGCCTCCATGTATTCTTGTCTGGTTGTGCTCTTGTTAAACTCATCTGGTCCACAGGAGCAACAGCCTGTTCGCTGGCTCGTTGACCTACCAGTTCACAGAGGAGCCGACTTCCCGTGAAAAACAAACAGCTAGCATGGCATCTTGGGTATGGGTTCAACAGCTGTTTGCTTGAGAAAATCCGTAACCGTGTGGATGTGCAGATGTTATAAAAGGCAGGCTGTGAGAAGAAATGTGATTGATTAGGAGCGTTAAACAGGATAATTTGCTGAGAGAGAATTGAAAGTTTCTTTTGATTGGGACTGCAGAGAAAGGCTGTCTAAGTGTATTGGGGATGTGTGTATTGAGCTAGTGCTCTGCCACTAAGCTATACCCGCAAACCTAGGAGGAGGCATTGGAGCGCCAAGAAGCAGCTGGCTATTGCGCCAGCACTCTGGAATGGGTTAAATAGTTGCCACTCTAAAAGTTGTAAGGTGAGGAGGAAATAGGCTAAGACAACCAAGGAAGAGACAGGTGGACCTTGTAAGGTTCAACAGACAGGAAGCAGGACCACAAACAAGTCTGTAGACTATGGGGCAGGTACACTTATCTCTTTTTGAATGGAAACGAAAGTCAATGTAGAGCTTTGGAAAGAAATACAACAGGGAGAGACCTTCTTTCCACTGGCTTAGTTCATCCGATCTTGCCCCAACTGCCCTGAGATGTCATCTTGGTCCATCTCCCTCCTATCACTCCACCCAGCTGACTACACAATCCCTTTACCCGCCCTCCCCCATTCCATCCCAAACATACTTCTGTGTCCAGGTTTTGCTTTTACATGTAGCAGAGATGGGGTTTTTTTGTTTGTTTGTTTTTGTTTTTGTTTTTACATAATCCTGTTGTCAAAATGTACATATGCACACTATTACACAGTTCGTTTCTCCATCTTTTCCCATTAGAACGCAAGAGAGTGAGAATTGTGTTACACTCATTGCTGTATCCTCAGCCCCCGAAAGACAGCTAAAAGACAATAGATATTTGGATGGGCGAATGGATAACTTGTGCTGCTCGAGGGATGGGTGAGAGGGAGAGGAATGCAATACAGGGTCAGAGGTGAGCAAGTTGCAAAGCATGTGAAGTTGGAAAGTCAAGGCTTGGTAGGAATTGATGCTCTATTACAGCTGGGATGGGAAACTGTGGTAGAGTCAGTGAGACCGAGCAAGGACGGTGTAACCTGGTCGGCAGTGGCTGCAGTCTGGAGTGGACTGTGGTGGGCAGAAAGATTTCTTTCACATCGTCTATGCCAATCAGATGGGTATCCCTACTCTATTCCTGCCCGTTTGTCCTCAAGTCAGCCGAGGGTGGACTAGACTGGGCTCCTGCTTCAGGCTGCGCATCTGCGTTTTCTTCATGAGTGGGACCCAGGCTGAAAGGCCAGCAGCAGCCTTGAGACGTATGGATGTACAGGAGAGTAACCTCAGGCTAAGGAGGCCACCCATTTGGTGGAGTGCTTACCAAGTTATCGAACAGCCCTGGGCTTGATCCCGAGCACCACGTAAAACAGGTGTGATGGTGCACGCCTGTAATCCCATCATTTGGAAGGTAGATTATATGAGAAGCAGAAATTCAAGGTCGCTCTTGCTTACATAGCAAGTTCAAAGCCAACCTGGACTGTATGAGACTTCTGAGAGAGGAAGAGATAGTGAGAGATTATAAGCAAGCTGAAGCTTGAATCTGTATCACGTTTGCTGACCTCTCAATGTCAGTGGCAGAGGTGATCAATGAAGAGAATAAGTTTATAAAGAGGAATGCTACATTTGGCCTCATAATTTTGCGAGTCCCAGTCCGGGACATTTTATCCCATTGGTTTAGGGCCATATCACAGCAGCACACCACAGTAGGAACATAATACAGCAGGAGAAAATGTCCCACCTTATCATGGGAGGAGGAAAGAGAGTGAAAGAAGAGGTCCATTAAAAATAGAGCACACCTCCAAAGACTCAAAGAGCCCCCGCTAGACCCCACCTCTTAGCAGTGCCCCTATCTCCCAATAGTACTACCCTGGGGAATGAGGCTTTTCCTGGGCATTTAACATCCAAACTACATCAGGGGAAGAACCATCTGCCAACAATAGCAAGGCTGACTAATCAACACAGAAGACTAGATGGTGAGACAATGTTGTCTTCAACCTGGGAATGCATCGATGTGATTCTCAAGTTAAAATGTAACTTTATCCAATCAGAGACTTCCTAGAAATCAGACAGCCCATCATAAACTGTACAATTAAATGGTTCTCTATAGGCATATATAGTTTTGAGAGATGAAAGCGTTTCATCTTTGTATGAACATAAACATTTTTTACTGGCTTTACTTATACGTTATGTTTATAACTTTTGGAAATAATAGGACTGCCTTGGGTTACTTCACAGTACCATTTGCAGTTACACGACTTTGGCACTATAGCAAAGAAATCACCATTTTAAGGAGAGAAATGTTGAAGAGAGTCCAGGATATGTGTCGCCTTTTTCTTAGATTGTGTGGTTGGTTCATTGACATAGTTTTTTACTTCATATTTAAAAAATAACATCAAAGAAGTTGAGCAGGCTTTCTGGGGGTAGGAATATATATTTGTAGTCACTTTCAAAGTGACTGACAGTGTTTATTACAATTTTTAAATGATTATTATAGACTTTCAATGTTACATAAAGTCTATATTCAACTCCTTAAATAATGACTTTGCTTCCTGAGATCTTGAGATTGCCTACTCTGATTAGAGATAGCTTTGAATCCTCTAAAATCCTCCAGGGTCTGTGCGCACACACTGTACCCCAGCCATCTCTTCCTCTACCCGGGGCACCTCCACACCCTCATTCTCTCTCCCTCCTTTAGCCACAGCCTCTTCGGGCTTTCCTCTGTGAATCTACTCCCAAAGCACAAAATGATTGAATTCTAAGGTCAGTAACCAAGCAAGATTTTTATTGTATCTCCTGCCATAAAACTCCCAGCCTTTGAGTCTGCCACTTACACAGAGAAGGTGGAAAATGCAGCTAAGATCATTTGCGTCCCCTTGGCACCGCTGTTCCTGCACCCCCTGAAGGGTAGGAAATGTTTCTGCCCCATCGTCTACTTAGAAGGCATATTGTTTTCCTGGAATGAGGTCCGCCCACCCTGACTTCATAGATGAAGTTCTGGAATGATTCTGTTAGCTGCATAGTGAAGAACAGGAATGCATTCATTGGGACGTCCCATGCTTTGTCAGGAATGAATGTAATCAGAATTGTCACTAACAAAAATGCTCCCGGCTCACTTTCCATTTGTTTGTTGTTGTTTCTTTGGCTAGCTGTTTTATTTTGTTTTGTTTTGTTTGCTGTCTCCTCCTGTAATCCAGGCTGGCCTCAAAATTGTGCTATGAGCTCCCAAGTGCCACCACACCTGGCTCGAATCTTGGGCTTAAGGAGATGTCCATTGGAAGAGCACAAAGTCCTGGGCTGCAGCAAACATTTGCAGTTGCTCTTTTAAAACGTTCTAGAACATTTCTCAATGTTATTGTTTTTCTATAAATCCCCTAAATAATGTAATTTCCTTGAAATATTTAAAGTCTTGACTCACAATCTGTTCAAGTGACAGACTATTAGAAGTTTCTGATATTGTGTAAAATGTTTCCATTTCATGTTTTAGGGTTTAGCCTAAAAACTCCAACGCACAGAATGAATGAGTAGTCTCTTCCAGTGGGCTTGCATTCTTACTTGAGTCGTATTCTTTATAAAGCCTACTGATGTTTTATTCATTTTTTTCCACAAAATTCTGTTTATCCAGGAGCAAGTCAATTAGTTACACTGAAAAATGACTTTCTTTGGGCAAAGCGGCATACAAAATTAAACTTTAATGCATTTTCTGGAATGCACAGTTCATAACCCACAAGTGGGGCAACTAAATATCTTATAATAGGGTAGTTTATAGGCCAGTGGCATCGCCATAGCCTTCTCCACACTCCCATGCCACAAGCCCTGCTTTCTGAGAGACAGACTGATCATGAGATGAAGTGAGGTGGATGGGGGCTGGGGTGGGCTGTGATGAATGGTGGTGGCTCATACTTGTAATCCCAGCACTAATCCTACACTATGGAGGCAGAGGCAGGCGGATCTCCGAGTTCGAGGCCAGCCTGGTCTAGAGAGTGGGTTCCAGGACAGCTAGGACTAAACAGAGAAACCCTGTCCGAAAGAAAAAATAAAAACGTGTCTATAGGCCTGTGGACTTCCTCTTATGGAGTTTCCTGCTTACAATAAAAATGTGTTTCCATCCATTCAAGTTCTCCATTGTGGAAAGGAATAAGCCTTTACACAGCACACTCACATTTTTAACATCTCCCCTTTCTTTCTGCCAGGTTACGTGCTGTCTCTGGTCTGTTCTAACTCTTCCCAGGCTTCATGTGAGATCACAAATGTGTCACAGCTGCTGCCTTATCCTGTGCTCTACACGAACCCGAATTCCACTATAACCAACTTCAGCATCTCAGCAAATGTAGAAAACAAATACAGTCTTTATGCGGGCTTGGCATTGGCCATAAGCTCTAGCATTTTTATTGGCTCAAGTTTCATACTCAAAAAGAAGGGTCTCTTACAACTGGCCAACAAGGGCATCACTAGAGCAGGTAAGAAATGCATTCAACAGGCAAAGTCTTCAGAGTTCTTCGGATAGATCAAGTTCCTTTCTGTCCCAAGAGCTTTTGCCTTTGCCTAGAACTCTCTCCCCTGCCCTTCATCTTGCTGACTCATTCTGCCATTGCCCACCTCCATAGAACGGCCTCCTTCACCATCCTCCCTCAATATCTGTTATTGTACCAAACAGTTTCCTTCATTGCCTCTAAGATCTTGCGTGTATCATTTATTTTAGTTATTGGGTTCACTTGTTTATTGATAGTAGACTCATAAACCATGCACTCAACAGTGGTTAACACCCACCAAAAATTTGTTGGGTCAATGAATGATAGTGGTAGAATTATACTGCTATTTATAGTAACATTTAAGATGCCAAGTGGCCTGTTTGAATTGTATTAGCCACACATTTACCTTCATTTTCATGAACTATAATAGCATAAGAAACTTAAATATTTTTCTTGGGTCAATATGGAAAAATAAATGACTATAAATTATATAAACAAGTTTCTGAAGGTGTAGTGAGAGAAGAGCTTTGCTCTATCAGAAAATATACTATATTTTGATCTCAATGAAAACAGTTTGGTACTGGAATTAAAATGAATAGTAAGGGATTATTGAAGATATCCAAGTAGAGAGATTATATATAGCAGCTAATATATAATTTTTAAAAGTAGTATTTCAGATCAGTGTAGAAAAATGAGTTATTCAACTAAAAATAATGAGACAAATTGGGAAAAGGTAGAGGTAAAAAATGTGAGAGTTCTGCTTTTTACTATTCTGCAAAATATAGGTCAGATTCTTTGAACTTGAAATAACTTTTAACATCAAAGAAAGCCTCCTTAAAGTATGAATTTATTTGAGTAAAGGAAGATTATATTCTATGCCATCGAAGAGATTCTCTGAGTGGGTGGATCAAATAGATTAGACACAGATATCCTATTTGGAAATAAACTTGAAGTTAAACAATCAGATGATATGAGGGTATTAAATATATGACACAGTGTTATAAAATTCCTAATATACAAAGAACAATTGCAGACAATAAGAAAATGCATACCCTAATGTCTTAGTTAGGTTTTCATTGCTGTGCAGAGACACCATGACCACAACAACTGTTATAAAGAAAGTGTTTCATTGGGGTGGCTGGATCAGTTTCAGAGGTTCAGTCTATGATCGTCATAGCAGGGAGCATGGCAGCAGGCAGGCAGGTGTGGTGCTGGAGCTGAGAGTCCTACATCTTGCAGGAAGTCAATTAACAGTCACACTGAAGAAAGTTGAAAAGAACCATCCCCGCAGTGACACACTTCCTCCAACAAGGCCACACCTATTTCAACAAGTCACATTCTAACAGTGCCACTCCCTTTGGGGGCCATTTTCCATCAAACCACCACACCTAACAAAATAGGCCAATCATTCACGTAAAAAGCCCAGACGGGAGGTCCAAGCACCCACTGTGATGAGATGATTGCTGTTGAGTCACTGGTAAATTTTATAAGGAGGAAATACTAAAGAAGCATAATAAACTACTTTGCAAGATCATCTTTATTGTTTATATCTCCTCTTAGTGTAATTATAACAAAATCATCGAGGCCAAAGTCAGGACGTGTTAGAATTGAGAAAATTCCGTTTTCTCTAGCTAACCTGTGAGCAGTGACTCAGGTCAGCAGTGATGGTCATGGTGAGACAACTCTAGGAAGCTTCAGTATGTCAGGGTGAAGGATAAGCAGAGTCTACCAGTCCAATGCTTGTCATTCTTTAATTGACTCATCCAAAGTCTCAAAACCTCCTGTGTCAAATATCTTCTTCCCTCTAAGGCCAGTTTTGCTTGAAAGTTATAGTTTGGGTTTTAATTTTAACCATGGCTGAAACAAAGAATTCACAATTAATGGTACCCATGCCTAAATTGCTGACTGGCATCTTTAGTGAACCTGATGATTAAATAAGATGTCATACAGGTCAAAGGGACTTTCTGGGGAGTCAAAGGTAACAGGGACCTTGAAAAGACCTTGGGAAGGATGGAAATAAATATCCTGAGAGGACAATTGCTAAGGTAACCAGAAGCCTTGCCTTCTCCAGAATGCTCACAGCTCTCCTAGGAGTCAGTTCTGCCCTTTTCTCCTGAGGTGAGGGTCTGATTTTGTTTTCTGGTATTTCCCAGGGCAAGGTGGACATTCTTACCTGAAGGAATGGGTGTGGTGGGCAGGACTGCTGTCAAGTAAGTATGAAACTCATGAGTTTTTAGACTCAGTTACTCTTCCCTCCTGTGGAGAATGGAGCTTTGTAATTTTAGAAAGCAGCATGCGAGAGAAATATACCTTGGGACAGAGCTTGGGCAGAGGTTTTTTTTTTATTGGGGGAAAGTGGAGAGGGGAGACTGGCCTCTGGAGACAGGAGTGGCAAAAGAGAAGAGACAGAGAGGAGGAGAGTTAGAGAGACAGGCAGAGAAGCAGAAAAAAGAAAGATGGGAGGTGGGAAGGATCCTTTTAAAAGGGAACATAGTGAATGTGCACAGGTGGTGCTCTTAGTGGCTGCAGCTGAGGGTGTGTCCTGTCAGAACCCCAAGGGCAGGCAAGTAAGGATGCCTGAATACTCACAGGAACTATGTCTGAAAACAACTATGGTATGTGGCACATTACCTCCTATATTACCTACATTACCTCCTCAGACCCCATCTGCCCTGCACTTTCACAGAAAGCAAAGGAAGAATTGTTTCCAATATTATATCTTATCACAAACTTCTCCTGTTTCCCTGTATCTTCTGGGTTCTTTACTGAGTCATTTTTTAATTTTTATTTATTTATATGTCACAAATATAAGTGCTTTGCCTGTGTGGTTGCCTGTGCACCACGTACATGTAGTGTATGTCGAGGCCAGAAGAGGACATCAGATCCAGGAACTGGAGTTACAGATAATTTGAGCCTCCATGTGGGTGCTGGAATTGAACCAAGGTCTTCTGGGTGGACCTCTGGAAGAGCAGCCAGTAGTGCTCTTAACCTCTGAGCCATCTCTCCAGCCCCTCTTCTGAGTTCTTTTTTTTTTTGGTTTTTTCGAGACAGGGTTTCTCTGTGGCTTTGGAGGCTGTCCTGGAACTAGCTCTGTAGACCAGGCTGGCCTCGAACTCACAGAGATCCGCCTGCCTCTGCCTCCCAAGTGCTGGGATTAAAGGCGTGTGCCACCAACGCCCGGCTCTTCTGAGTTCTTAATTTGACTTCATGTGGTTACCCTGGCTGCATACATTCTGGGAAATAGGTGCATCTTCCTTATCAGGACCAAACATGGATAAATGAAAGGAATCTTTGGCTGTTGATACTGGGGTAATGTGGGGAGGCATGAAGTTGTCAGCACTCTCTTCCTCCTGTACTGGGTTTCAGGACTGAAGCAGAGTGTGTAGGCTCGAAGCACTTCCCAAATGCTAATATGAAGTCCTCATGAGGGACAGGTAATCTGCTCTGCCTCTCTCCCTACCTCCTACAAACTTTCTTCAGGGCCAAGTCAGAGGCTTTCAAAGACATCGCTAAAGTAGCTTCACAGGCTCACAACTCAGCTCCCTCTGTTGCCAGAAGTCTTAAAGCAGTTAAGTTTCAAACCTGGGGCAAAGGGCTGAGGTGTCTATGTAATGTATCAATGAGGGCCTGGCTGCTAGGTTCCCAGCATCCTTCAGTCTCTACCTGCTACAAGGTCCTCCTGGCGGGCATACCTACTCCTTACCCTGAACTCTCCAGCCCAGGGGGCTGGGGTGACCTTTCCTATATAATCTAGACATTTGGTTATCTGCCCCTTTTGTATTTTTTCCCTCTTGGCTGCTGCACCTGGTTCTCTGTCCTTCCGTCTCCCCCCCACACACACACACACAGGCACACGGCTCAGGGTCATGACCTCTCTGGACTCTCACAGATGTGTCTGCCTCTAGCTCTGCTCTCCCCTATATGATCAATAAACTTTCTCCGCCACTACACCTAAGAGCAGTCATATTCTTTCCTTTTCCTTTTTTGTTTTCATTCAAAAGCTGCCCTGCTTTCCATAGCCAAATAACTTATTTCAGCATTTGAGAAATCCTACTATAAGAAAGAACTTGAGGCCAGAGAGATGGCTCAATGGCTAAGATCACTTGATGCTCTTGCAGAGGTCCTGGGTTCAGTTTCCAGCACTCATAAGTAGATGGCAGCCATCTTCAGTTCCAGTTCCAGGGGATCTGACCATCTCTTGTTCCCTCCATAGGCACCAGGCACCCACAAAATGCACATATATACATGCATGCCAACAGTCACACACATGAAACAAAAGTAAACCTTAAAATGAAAATCTTAAAAAGAAAATTGTATAGCTACATTTACAATATCATATTTACATACCAAAAAAAAAAGCTTGTGATAGGATGGATGATGACATTCCTTAGAGGTACCAGCTAGCTATTAGCATATGAAGTTAAGATTTGCCTGGAACAACATCTATAGAATTAGAAATCACAAACAATAGGAGGGCATCAAAGGAAGCCAAATAGTCTAAAAGGGCCGCCTCAGCTCTTTTAGTGAGCATGCTCTCCTAACTGCTCTGTAAATGTAGTATGCCAGGTTTTTTCTTTTGGGCCACCAACCAGCTCCCAAATCATGACACAGGGACTTATTATTAGTTTTCAAAGCTCGATCTAGCTTAGGCTCATTTCTGGCTAGTTCTTTTAACTTAAATTAACTTGTTTTTCTTTATCTATCTTTTGCCTTGGGAATTTTTACTTTTCTTTATTCTATACTTTTCTTTCCTTCTTACTCTGTGGTTGGCTGGTCCCTGGTGATTACTCTCTCTCCTCTTTTCTCCTGACCCTTTGTTTCCCCCAGCTTAGATTTCTCCTATTTATTCTCTCTGCCTGCCAGGCTTACCTGCTATTGGCCAGTCTGCTCTTTATTAGACCAATCAGGTACCTTAGGCAGGCAAGGTGAAATAGAAGCAACACATCTTTACATAATTAAACTCATATCCTTACATCATTAAACAAATGCAGCATACACAAATATAACACACCTTTATACGGTTAAAGTAGTATTCCACAGCATAAACATCTTTATATGGTTAAAGTATTATCCACAGCAATTGAGTTTTTTATGGTGTTCTAATGTTAGATGCTCCTGTAGCTTGAATGTGGTAGCAAAGTAGACAAAGAAAAATAATATACACTGCTGTTTTCTCTCTCCACTATGTGTTTTCATGGCACAGTTGGACAGCATGGAATGCTACAATTTCTGGAGAAGTATCCCACTGCAGTCTCTGAGAATAAGCTGGTTTCCACACAAAAGCCATTTCTTAGGCAGAATTTCCCCCACTCTGGGAGTTTTTTTTATAACACACTACCTGGTTCAGATCTCAGAAAACATTACATTCAGACATTCATCCTTAGGACTCTCAAACAGCTACTTGAATCTACTTGAGCTCCTGAGACATCATCACTTGCTTATAGTTCATCTCCAATTCAGAGATTCCTGCAGTGGGCCTGGGGTGGGCATTCCTGGACATCTGCCACCCAGGCACCAGATCCCTATAAGCCCTTCTCATTTTATAAGATGCCTGATATTACCGCTGTGGTTAAATTACAAATTCGATCATTCTCTTCTTACTCCAAAGCTACCTCTACTAGATCCCATTAGACTGACCAAATATGTTTTCAACATACAAGGAGCTCGTCTCAACTGAAAATCATGTAAAGTGTGCATTCCTCCCTCAGCGTTGCTAATGCTGTTGTCTCCAGGCAGTTACAGTAGCTCCACATCCCACAATAGCAATCCTTTTCCACGGGCTGCAGGAAGTTAAATCTTTGCTTCCAGGTAGGTCTTAGTGTCTTTGAGATAAAGTCTGCTGCCACCACGAGTCGTTTGCTTATCTTCCTATGGAGATAGTATCCCATCTACTCGTATCTCTGCTTGCTTTCCAGTGGGAGCTGGGGAGGCAGCCAACTTTGCCGCTTACGCCTTTGCACCTGCCACCTTGATCACGCCCTTGGGGGCACTGAGTGTTCTCGTAAGGTAGGTGGACAACCGGGAGCGTGGCTTCTGTCACTAGTTCACTAGTGTCAGCACACTCAAACCACGAGAAGCACTCTGCTAAGAAATCACAGCGCACGAGTGTGAGCGCGCATGCGCGCACACACACACACACACACACACACACATGCATGCAACCTGAGCTCTCAAAGCACAGACAGCCTCAAATAGTGTCTGGGACTCCTGAGAGCTTAGACACACACACACACGCGCACACACACACACACACACACACACACACACACACACACACACACACACGCAACCTGAGCTCTCAAAGCACAGACAGCCTCAAATAGTGTCTGGGACTCCTGAGAGCTTAGAGACAGGCCAATTATAATAAAGGCACAAAAGATCTTGCACTAAGAATCTCTAGCATGCGAAAGGCCTTGAGTTTGATCTCCAGCAAAGAAAAGAAAAACTAATCTTGCCTCTGGGGGAAAAATGATTTGAGAAAACTACAAAAATGTAGCAAGAGAAATAGGAACTACATTGCCATGTTGTTAATAACAAGCAAATAAAACAAAAACAAAAAGAAAAGACAGGGGGGAAATCTAGCAGAAGATCTTGACTCACTACTAACAAGGTAAATTGTCAATTATATTTGTGGTGATTCAGGGATGACTAGCCAGAGGTTTTTGGTGTGTTTTATACCTCTCACCTGAGTAAACTGTGAAACTCCTTTGAATTTTTCTTGTTGCCACAGTGGTTAATGACAATAGCTGTTAGAAGACTGTAGAGGCAGACAGTGTTTAAGCTACATTTCAGCTCTCACTAAAATCCCATCCTTGCCTGCTGGATATCCTGTGGTAGGACTTCCTGCCTTATACTGTATGGATGTCCTGGTTTGGTTTTTGCTGCTGTGATAAACAGCACTACCAAAATCAGCGTAGGGGAGGAAAGGGTTTCAGCTTATGTCTAGCCTGTCGTTGAGGCAGGCCAGGAGCTGAGAGCAGAAACCGTGGGAGACACCGCTTACTGGCTTGTTCCCCATGACTCGCTCAGCTTGTTTTCTTATACAACCTACCCAGGATGGCAACACTCCTAGTAGGCCGGGCCCTCCTATGTCAATCATTAATCAAGAAAAGCCCACAGAGCAGTCTGATGGAGGCACCTCCTCAGCTGAGGCCCCCTCTCCCCAGGTGACTCGAGTTTGTGACAAGTTAACAAAACAAACCAGCACAGTGGGTCTCGAAGAGAAGCCCCACCAAACGACAGGACTCACATAGGAGGTTTATTAGAAAAGGAGAGCCGGGCGTTGGTGGCGCACGCCTTTAATCCCAGCACTCGGGAGGCAGAGGCAGGCGGATCTCTGTGAGTTCGAGGCCAGCCTGGTCTACAGAGCTAGTTCCAGAGGACAGCCTCCAAAACAATACAGAGAAACCCTGTCTCGAAAAACCAAAAAAAATAAAATAAAATAAAAGAAGAAGAGGAGGAGAGAGAAGGGGCAGAAAAAGGGGTGGAGGAGGGGGGCAGAAGCTGGTCCCTGGAGACAAGAGTGGTGGAAGACGAAAAGAGAGAAGTTGGGGAGGGGGAGGGGAGAGAAAGCTAGGAGGTGGGGAGGGCCCTTTTAAAAAGGAGCATAGTGTGCACAGGCGGTGTGCTTAGTGATTACAGCTGAGGACGTATCCTGTCAGAACCCCAAGGGCAGGCCAGTACAGATGCCTGAATACTAAGAGGTCCGACTTTTCTGAGTTGGTTTGTATTAAGATTCAGGCGAAAGTGTTTGATGAGCAGCGAACTCTTTGTGCGCCTTGGCTACCATTTTGTTGTCCTTGTCTTTTTAGAGTCTGTAAATTATCAGTATCTAGTAGAAAGCATCTGACTAGGCCTATCTACTCCTTTCTGTCTTTATAGAATTGAGAGAATTAAATGAGTTAATGTGTATAAAGCTGTCTGAAGACTTGTCTTTTCACTGGGGCTGCAGTCCCACAAGTGACCACCAGAGGGCAACTCTGAGAAAGCACTTCGTAAATGCCCACAGTCTTGGGGTCAAATGGCACCATTTATTGAGAATGGTAAGAAAGAAGACTGGTGGGCAGAAGACTCAGAGAGCTGCTTGGTGTAGCAGCAGAATGTCCTACTCTGTTATCTATGGCAGTGCCAACCTTGAGCACTTTGAAAGCAAGCCATGACAAACAAAGAATTGGGGGCTTTAGATAGGCAAAAATATCGAGGCAGGAGTGGAGGGAGGAAAGCTTTTCACTATTTGACAATCTGTATGGTTGCACAGGTGTGTGTTAGTTATGTATCAACCCTGAACAGAGTACCTGCTGTCTAGGTATATATCTTTCTACCGTGTGTGTGTGTGTGTGTGTGTGTGTGTGTGTGTGTGTGTGTGTGTGTGTGTGTGTGTGTAAAATGAAGGCCAAAGGACTTCTCACTGAACTGAACTGGAGCTTGACAAGTAGGTTAGCTGGACAGTGAACCCCCAGCCCTTTTGTCTCTGGGGTTCTAAAACTGGGCACGACCACAATGACTGTTTTACAAAGGTCCTAGTCATAAAATTCAGGTTTTCATTCTTGTGCCGCACACCCTTCGCTGGATGACCCATCTGCCCAGCCTAGGGTGCCCGTCTCTAAAACATCATGATCACTTATATTATAAATGTCCAAGTTGAACGTCCCTAACTCAAAATTCAAAGCCCAGGTGGTCCTAAACTGGAACCATCTGGAGCCTGCATAGGACGCCAAAAGTGAAAATTTCCTTACTTGACCTCAGGTGACAGACTGCAGTCAAAACATCAGCACATCAAAGATATTTGTGTCAGCTGGGTGTTGGTGGCACAGCCTTTAATCCCAGCACTCAGGAGGCAGAGGCAGTCGGATCTCTGTGAGTTCAAGGCCATCCTGGTTTACCCAGTGAGTTCCAGAACAGCCTCCAAAACAATAGAGAAACCCTGTCTCAAAATTTAAAGAAAGATATCATGTCAAATTTCCCTCCGGAGAGTCTGTCAAGTCTATGTGACTGGCAGATAAAGCTTCTGTTTAAGCTCAGGTTCCCTCCCTAAGAGCACTCATACACGCAAATAAGCCACATCCAGAAAAGTCCAATGGAAGCATTTCAGGAGCTAAGCATTCCAGATACGGATGCTCTCTTTAGCCAGTGAGCTATAAAGTAGTTTTCATTGTAGTTACTTTACAGGAGTCTGTTAGAAGTTAATTATGCTCTAAGAGGCAATGGAGAGACAACAGGAGCGGAGCATATCTATGCTATCTCCTGAATTATAAAAACAGTAAAATAGGGGTAGTTGATCATCATTTCTTAACTATTTATATAAGGATTTTCAGTGTCACATAGCATATTCTAGTTAGCTCCATGGGGTGCAGAGCAGCACATGCAGCTGTGTGACCACTAAACCGTGGTGGAATTAAAATGTAATTGAACTGTGGTGATTTTATTTCTCTTTCTCTCTCAACAGTGCAATATTGTCTTCTTATTTTTTAAACGAGCACTTGAACATTCATGGGAAAATAGGCTGCATATTAAGCATATTGGGGTCAACTGTGATGGTTATCCATGCCCCTCAAGAAGAAGAAGTCACTTCTTTGCATGAAATGGAGATGAAATTGAGAGATCCAGGTCAGTGATTCAGCCTTAAAAACAAAAACAAAAAGAAAGAAGAAATAAAACTCACTGAAGTCACTTTCTTTTTTCTCATCGGGTGAGGTAGGTACGCTTTGCTTTCAGCTTGGTTTGGTTTGGTAGGACTTATTGAGCTAGGACCTCACTATATAGCCCAGGATGGCCTTGAACTTACAGTCCTCTTTGTCAGTCTCCTGAGTACTGGCATGACCCATGCTCCACCACGCCCATCACCAGTGGAAATTTGTGGCGACACCAAAGGAATCCTATAAGCCTGTCGTGGGTTGTAAGCCACAGTGAGGTTTGTTCATTGTAACTTTTTAAAAGAATAACCATTTGTTTTTATGTTTGTGTGTCCTTGCTGCACAGCAACAGGAAGAAAGGAAGAACGTGGAGACAAAAGATTTCTAATGAACCCAAACCCCTGCCCCTTCTTCCTTAAGTAAAACTATAAAATACTACACCTAGCTGACCACATAGTGATACTGTGGAGATTCATTCAAACAATGTTTGTGAATTGCCCTCTGAATCACTAAGAAGCTGAATGGTGTTACTTGTTCGAAAGTTCTATTCTCTTAAATGACGAACAGTTCCTTGGGAAGATTTGGTCCTGTCAGCATCTCCTGAGCCCGATTCTTTCTCTTCCTAACAGGGTTCATTTCCTTCGCTGTGATTGTCTCTGTGATCTCCTTGGTGCTGATGGTGCTTGTGGCACCGAAGAAAGGACAAACTAATATATTGGTCTACATAGCAATCTGTTCTTTGATCGGAGCCTTCTCAGTTTCTTCTGCCAAGGGCTTGGGAATTGCCATCAAGGAACTACTGGAGTGGAAGCCTGTTTACAAGAATCCCCTGGTCTTTATCCTGTTGGCTGTGCTTATACTTTCAGTAACGACGCAGATTAACTATCTCAACAAAGCCCTGGACACTTTTAACACATCTCTGGTGACTCCCATTTATTATGTGTTCTTCACGTCCATGGTGGTGACATGTTCTGCCATCTTGTTCCAGGAATGGTATGGCATGAAAGCCAGAGATGTCATTGGTACCCTTAGTGGGTTCTTCACGATCATCAATGGCATCTTCCTTCTACATGCTTTTAAAAACATTGACATCACCTGGAGTGAGCTCACATCCACTGCTAAGACAGAAGTCCTTTCTCCAAATGGCAGTCAGAACAGTTATGTTTTATTAGAGAATGCAGAGTGTTCAGCCTTGGGGTATGATGATGACATCACCCTGTTTAGCAGGACTGATGACCGCAGTCTCCACAAACTGTGAACTTCAACCAAGACACCTGGAGAGAAACAATACTCTTTTTTAAAATTTAAATTAGAAGCAATCTTGTTTTAGAAGTCAATCCCAGTTCCCTCTCCCTCCCCTCCTCCCCTGCCCCCCAAGGAGAGTGAGGCCTTCCATGGGGGAATCTTCAAAGTCTGTCATATCATTTGGTGCAGGGCCTAGGTCTTCCCCAGTATGTCTAGGCTGAGAGAGTATCCCTCTATGTGGAATGGGCTCCCAAAACCCATTCGTACACTGGGGATAAGTACTGATCCATTGCCAAAGGCCCCATAGATTGCCCTGGCCTCCTAACTGACACCCACAATCAGGGGGTATGGGTGGATCCTATACTGGTCTCCCAGCTATCAGTCTGGGGTCTGTGAGGTCCCCTTGTTTCTGTGGGTTTCTCCAGGCTGTTCTTGATCCCGTTGCTCATCAATACTTACTCTTAGAAGGTCTGTTTCTATGGTAGCATAGTTAACACAGTGTGAACACTCTGGATGGGAGGCCAAGAAAAAAGCCTTTGTTCTGACCACCAAATTGGAAAATCAAGTTTGACCTTCTAAAAGATTCGTGTCTTTCCATTATGTTTTCGAAAGCATTGAAACAGTCCCTGAGCAAAAAAGAAGTCAAAGACTTACGTTTGTCCTTGGACAATTCTTCTTGTCAATAGATTTGGCACTGCTGGGTGGGGCTTCATTTCCTCTCTGCCTAGTCTTGGACTCAGTGTGATTGACAGATCAGGTTAACTGGCTTCTGACTGATTGGTCTCCATTGAGTCATAATCTCCACCTATTAAAACTGAGGAATGGGAAGACTGGTGCTTTGTCCTCTCATCCGCAAACACGTCTTTTAAAACTGGACAACAGATGTGCGAGATATGAACGAGCAAAGGGGCCTAAAAGATATGTGACACACACATCAGCGATTATCTCAGATTCTATGAGCACAGATCTGGCTAAAATTAGCAAAAAAATGTGTTTCCTGGAAGACCCAAGTGAATTTAACTTTGCAATGACTTACAATAGTCATTTCGTTCCTTTTTCTTTTTCCTTTTTGGTGCTTTGGAGTTTGGATGTTTTCTTTGGGTTCTCTTGTTTGTTTATTTTTCAGACAAGCTGTCACTGTGTGACACAGGCTAGCCCCAAGCTCAGCACAGGTCTGGTTCTTCTGAGGGCTGGAGCTACAGGTGTGCACCACTGCAACAGCGTCTTTTTGAAAAGTTATTGCTCCATAGATTTATTCTCCTTGACATAGGGGTTCCTGTAAAACAATCACTACCCAATGTGACATTTAATAGCATGCTTCAGTTTTCCTCAAATGTCTTATTCCTAAAAGGTGGGTCATCGTAAACTGAAAACAGCAGATTCTTTGTGAAGTTGGGATGGTCTTTTAAAATTTCCCACTTTCACCCTTAGTAAGGAAATTATGAACAGTTTCTAAATTTTCAGAATGAGCACAGCCTACCGTTGTTTTCAGTTATGGATGCATTTTTTCCTATAGAATTCGTCTTACCCATGCTTTCCAATTCAGCTCATTGACAAGTGTGTAGGGAGAGAGAAATTCCTAAAAAGAAAAGTGTTAAGACCCTATTGCTCATCGATACTTTGCATTTGACGTCTCTGACACATTCTAGATTCCTGCTCTTCCAATCGCCAGCGGGGTTACTGCTGAGTACAGCGCAGTATGCTTGTGAAAGCTGATAAGCCACGGCATTCTATGAGATGATACCTCACGTCAAATACATGTTTACGATCCATCACTGACTCACTTTGTGATCAGATATATAAGCTGTGAACACACGTTTCTAGAAAGGCTAGTGTGCTTGAAACCTGTACAAATCCTTTTCCTGGTTTTCTTTTTTAGCTTTGAGAACTCGGGCCGGGCCCTCCAGGGCATCTTCCTGGTGAGGGCATCAGCCATCTCTCTAGACATCTTTCCGTTCTAGTCATCTTAACTTTTAGACATTTATCAGGTGTCACTTGTTGCTTTGACACCTTGGATGTCAAGTCTTGCCCTTGGTACATTGTGCGCAGGCCAAAGGTTCCTGGAACACAAGAATCGATGTGTCCCAGGTTGGGGAATGAACTGGTGTTGACATGTATGCCCAGGAGGAAGACTGAGAGATTTAATGAGCTGTCATATGTGCAGAAACAGGGAAATATCGATTGGCAAAGCTCTCTGGAATTTAAAATGGTAATATAAATCTAACACCATAACTGAGCCTTTTTCAAGAAACAAGATTCCACTGAAGGAAGGGAAGCGTCAGCTGCTGTGTTCCTACATTCAGTCGGTGCCACTGGAACTGCTTGTCCCAGGCTCTGCATTATCACATAGACATCTTAGGATTTATTTACTGGCTATGATACATATGTAAAGAAAGAAGTTTTATTTTTTAATTTATAATTTCACTGTTAGGTCAGTGCTTAAAAATTCTATTTTTAGTCCAGAGTAAAAGATACTCATAAAATTCTTTAGATTTAGCTACATTGGATTAAATAACATTTATTTCTGATAAAGGAAAATCCTAGTTCACATACCTAGGAAGCCTCCTATATCATGCCCAGTAAATATGAGGCACTTCACTGAAGTGAATTCTCAATCGAACCAGCATTCTAACATTCTAACCCTCGCGTCTTCTTCCTAGAAAGAGGAGGGCCACTGAGCACAAGACCGCACGGATCCTTATCTTTCCTAACTACTGTCACTTCATTCATTTTAGACAGTTCCAGTGAAGGCAAGCTCATTATTGTCCACCCTCAGGCACCATATAAAGCCATTCCAACAAAAACGTTTTTCTTGGAGAGGGGGCATGTAGCTCAGTGGCACAGTGCCCCATCAGTGTGCACACAAGGCATTGGGTTTGAGCCTCAACGTGATGGGGAGGTGGGGATGGAGGGGATAGGGGTGGGTATGATGATAAAACCAGTGAAGCCAGACTAGTCACTTTCACCTTCCAGAGCTTTGTGGATGCATCACATGAATATGTTGCATGTTCTCAAATATTTTTTGATAAACTGTGTCCACCAGAGTTTCTATTTTTCAACTGCTTGTAAATACTATTCTTTTTAGACAGCTTATAAAGGTGTAATGTTTCTGTATATTTCCAATAAAATAATGTGGTTGTGCTGTGTGTTTTGGTGCTGAGTTTATAGGCATTGAGTGTTGTTCCTATTTCGTTTTGAGATTTAAAAAAAGTTCTGAAATTTAGGGAACTCACATAGCCTTTTCCTTAGAATTGAAATCTGTTTGGGGAAGGCTCTGCATCAAACCATCTGCCGCAGTAGTCTTGGCACCTGGACAAAAGAAACTGTTTTATCCTTTAACACTTTCATTAACCAAAATAGAAATTCAAGCAGTTAGTATACTGAAATCTCCAGCTAAATAACTTAAAAAGAGAAGAGGGAGCCAGGCAAGGTGGCCAATGCCTATAATTCCAGCACTTGGGAGGCAGAGACAGGTAGATCTCTGTGTTTGAGGCCAACCTGGTCTACAGAGAAAGTTCTAGGACAGCCAGGGCTACACAGAGAAACCATGTCTTGAAAAAGACAGACAGACAGACAGAGAAAAAAGGGGCAGCAGCTGTCCATCCATATCTATGACAGCATTGGCTCCAGGTCACCCCTCTGGCAGCTCAAGTCCTTTATATAAAATGGCACAGTACTTACCTACACATGTCCTCTTGGGTCCTTCAACATCTCCAGTTAACATCCAAGCCAATGTAACTGTTACGGCCTTAAACTGGGGCTGGAGAACTACCGCCTCGGTTGTTTCTAATTACAATAAAGGAATTGTCTAAGGTATAAAACAAAGCCTCTCTCTCACCTGTGTCCCATCCCTTTATGTCCTCTTTCATAAATAAAAAGGAATAATGTGCTTTGTGTCCCATCAGGACCAGAATGGGGCTCCCGGCATGCACATTTCCCAAAGAGGCACCAAGCACGCAGTCCATGAAATGTATATGAGAGAGCTGGGCAGTGGTGTCTGTACTGGAATACAGTGTGTCTACACTGATGCTACACAGACCTCAGTCTTCCAGAGCAGTGTGTGTGTGTACACAAAACAGCAACACCTTGTCCATGACTGAAAGGAAGCCATCAAGAGGCTGACAACAAGGCTGATGGGAAAGCTTTGTCAGTAAAGTATGTGCTGTACAATCATGAGGACTGTTTGGATCGCTAAGATCCATGGGGGGGGGGGGGAGTCAGCCCAGTGGCACACATGGAATCCCAGCACTAAGAAAGCAGAGAGGATTCCTGTGGATTACCAGCTAGACAGTCTAGCCACACCAGCAAGTGAGAGTTCCTGTCTCAAAAAGTAAGGTACCGTGTGAGAAAGGAAGAAATCTGCCTCCAGACATACAAATGTACCACACACACTCATGTGCACACACACATACATGCCCCCATACACACACATGCACCACACACACTCATGCACCACATACACACACATACATGTATCACACATACATGTACCACACATACACACCACACACATACATGCACCATACACATACACCACATACACACAAAGACATGCACCACACACACACACATGCACCACACATATACATGTACCACACACACATGCATACCACACATACCAAAGAGGTGCTCTGGTCATGAAGATTCTCAAAGTTTTCTTTAATAGATGAACCATATATTTTTCCTAGTTAAAAACCATGAAGTATTTGAGAATGCTGACAACAGCCACCTTGTCTTTTGATAACAACCCATGGAATACCTTTCTCCTTCAGTGAGAAACTAAGCATGGTTAGTGATGGAGAAAACTTGGTCAGAGAACCATCATGGTCTTCACAGGCAGATGGCCTAGGGCGGTGGGGGGAGGGGGCAGGGTTTTCCCAGATCTCTGTGAGCAAAGCCCTTCCCAGGAGCTATTTCATTACCTGCCCCAGAATACTTGGTTCCCACCAGCCTTGGTTGTATGTCCTTGGCTGAGGAGACCAGGTCTCAAGCCTGCTTTACAGCAGGCCACAGAAAGTTCTACTTTTCACCCTGATGTCTGTAGGTTCTAACCCTGCTTTACTCGGGGAGTTAGGCAAGTGGAGGCTGTAATGGAGGGAAGGTAGCCATTCTGATTGTCGAGGACCCAGAACTTCCTAACACACTCTCCTTCCCCAATCTAGTTAGT